CAGACACCGTGACAACCTCGCGGGGATAGTCAGGGAAGCTTCCTGTGACCTTCAAACGTTAAGATCTGATGAAAACTCGATTTTTGCAAAACGGGGTGAAAACAATAACTTCCCGATTTTTGAAAATCTTCGATTTTCTTAGCAGGAAGTTAAAAATTCAACATGAGGTGTGATACGGAAAGGTGTGAAATAGAATGAACAAGGTGAAAGATGTAGACCATTTACATTTATGGGGTGGAACTGTGACGTTTTTTATATGCAGCTTCCGAAGGGACATCGATAATTACCTGTACCTGGCTTAGAATCTGCGGGTTGGTGTGCAGACTCTGAGCGCAGAGAATAGAACGAGATGGGTAGTATGTGGAGGGATGTAAACGAGAACAGAGATGAGGGTGAAGGAGAAAGAGGATGGAATATGACGATAGAAGAGAGGGGACAAGTGGAGGGTTGCGGAGGTTCGTCCTATCAATCACGGTATTATTATCGAGTCCGTGATTAGCAAGGCATGCTAACGATATCTCTGGCTGGAGGCAGAGGCCAGCGTAGCTTTGTGTGAGTTTAAATCCATGTTGTATGACCGAGCGCACCTACGCAAGTTTATTGCGCACATGTTGGGTCTCCAATGTACGATCTACAGATCTAATACTATCTCTTGTTTCTGCAGATATATATCTGGGCTGGTGATGTCTTTATCCATTGATTTGGTCTCTCTTGTTCTTGTGGGTGAGCTGAATTCAGACTATTTGATGATCTGTGCGTTTATAGGTGTGCGCTGTTATCTACAATGTGTGTGTGTGTCCTATGCTAAAGAGTATGGATAGAATAGGAGCAGAATAGAATGGAATAGAATTGAGAATAGTGGTTAAGAAAGGGTGGGTTGTCAGAGGTGTATATGGATATCAAAAAGGAGTGCGTACAGATGAATATCTGAATCTCTTGATTGATATTAGTAATTAGTGAGTTGTCCAATGTCTTGATACTTGACTCTAGGTTTAAATTACATACTGTAGTTTAAGTTGTATTAGTGATTGCGATTGGGATTGTGATTGGGAATTGAGTTGAATTAAGTCAAGTTGAGTTGCCATGATCGTGATGATGACGATGATGCTTCTACACTACTATGCTTCTGCTCTACTCTGAGTTTATTGAGTGTGAGCTCGTGTCAATGATGTGATGGTAATTTTGGTATGCACAAAAAGAGTGAGAGAGACTGATTTTCGAGAGAAAATTACGATGATGATGGTGATGGAGATTCTACGGTGACGATAGGGGTTGTGTTGATGTGATGCTGCTTCGATGCTACGCCAAGAGAAGGTGAACTTTAGGGCTGTATAGAGTATGTATATGGATATGTATATCGACATCGGGGTTACCGTTTACTATAGTTCGATGCGCATGCATTGATTTAAGCCTAGCCTTACCGCAGACTGCGGTGCAGGACGCTGGTCAGTGGTATTAACGCCCGCGGGCATTTACAAGTTCAAATTTAACAAATTTACTTAAGGAGTACGCTTCTTCGCCAGCATCGGATCTGCTTAGATTCATTTCTAATGATATGACTGTAAAAAGTTAATCGATTATTAACATTTATTATTGTTGAAATTGTAATCATTTCTCACAGCTTTTATTTGGTACTCTAGATCATTCTTACTTAATAACTTAGATTTGATTCTTGTTGTAGGCAAAAATGTTACGAGATTCAATTCAGAAACAATATGGAGTTTGGGAGGTAAAATGGACTGATTAGACTTTAAAAACCAACGAGTATTTTTCAGTTAAACGGGTTCTAGAATTTTTGTATTGTAGAAATTATCAAAAAATAATATAAAGAACAAACTAAGTCACGAGTTAATTAACAGCATTATTTACTATATTTTTTGTTAAAAAGCTATGTATTTTACAGAAATGATAATTATTAAAATTTAAGATATTACGCTATTAAAATATTAATTATTACAACAAGTTACTAAAAATATTTAGTTACTAAAAAAAGTAAGTTTTCAAGTCTTCAGCTTCTAATAAAAATTAATAAAATATAGTTATTTCTATCTATTTACAACTATCACACGTGTATTTACTGGCTTTTTTATTTTCAACTCCAGCACATGAATCGTGGGCCCAATTTTTGCACTTACCACATTGGATCCATGGCTCCACAGATTCAGAATACAATTGTTTGCAAAAAATACAAGCCATATCCGTCTTCTGATTGCTTAGATTTAATTTTACCTATTCCCTTCCCTTTACCTATTCCCTTCCCTTCCCTTCCCTTTAAATTAATCGTCAGTTTACTTTGTCTTGGTTTTTTTATTGGTACATTTTTTAACTTCCCGCTCAGAAAATTGAAAATTTTCAAAAATCGGGAAGTTATTGGTTTTATCCCGTTTTGCCAAAATCGGGTTTTCATCAGATCTCGACGTTTGAAGGTCACAGGAAGCTTCCCTGACTCTTCCCGCGATGGTGTCCGTGCGGCTGTATGTATGTGTGTGTGTATGTGTGTATGTATGTAAACTTCTCATAACTTTTGAACGGCTCAGCTGATCGGATCGAAATAGGTGGCGCTCTAAAGAGTATCATTGCCATTAAATTTCGTAAAAATTTGAATTGATTCGGTTCGCTAGATTTTGAGAAATCTCAAAACTAAAATTTTCAAAAAATCGTTTTTTTGGAATAACTTTTAAACGGCTTTATCGATCAACTCCAAAAACTAATCCGCTCTTAAGTTTGAAAAACCACATCGATTGCCACCAGTTCCGTCAAAATCGGTTGATTCGTTCAAGAGTTATCGAAAACGAAAAAATTCGGAAAAAGTGAATTTTTCAAATTTCTCTAAGATTTTCGGTTCAATCAGTTTGTGTTTAAAAGTATATTGTAGAATTGAAAAAACTGTGTGGAATAATGCCAACTGCGTGAAAATCCATTCATTCAGAAATTATTGCAGTTTGAAAATTCAAAAAATACTGTTTTATTAAACTTCTATCAGACTTTTGAGCTCGAAGAGCTCAAAAGCTTAGAATAGCTAACTCTAGGAGCTCGAAGAGCTAAAAACGGCATAAGCCCAATTTTAAGCGCTTAGATATGGAATTAGCGGGAAGTTGCAGGGATGGTCTTAGGATCAACCGTTTTTTAGATTTTTTACTCTTCTTTTCGCTCAGTTAATGTATTTCTATATGACGAACTAGTCAAAATAACAGTACTATTATGCTTTGTTTTACTCTGCCTTGATTTACGTTGGACATCACTTTGGGTCAAAGGAAGAACACTGTTGGGAGAAATTGTAAAGCTATCTATTCTTCGCCTCTTAGCTCGTTATCTTCGCTGATATCGATCGAATCATCACTATCACCAAAAGCTTCTTCTAAAAATTGTTGCTTGTATTTATCAGCCGCGGTTTTTAAAGAATGAGCAATGAGTTCTTCATCTTCACACTCGAATTTCTGAGTCGTCTCAGCTCCAAAATTCAACTTTTCCGCTGTGTTAGTCATAAATGTTATTGAGCTCATTCGACGGCTTAGCGATTGTAACTCTGGTTCTTCGGGTTTTTCAAATTGAATGTCAATTATATCAGTTTCATCCCCAGTAGTTACATCAGTTTCATCCTCAGTCGTTACATTCTCATTAGTCTCATTCTCACCATCGTCAATATCAATACCAGGATCAGTTTCACTTTCTGTGTCACTACTGATCATTGTATAATTTTCATCATCTGTCGTAGTCATCAGTACTTTTCAGTGGACTTTTGGGTGTCATCGCTTCAGCTGCTACAAAATCCTTATCTGCATAAACAATTCTGTCGAAAGGACATATTCCAGCTTTTTTGAAACCATTTCTTATAGTTTCTGGTTTCGCTGCGGATTTAAAAGCTGTGTTGTAGATTTTAGGAGTATCGTTTGCTGTAATAACACGACCTGGATTATCTTGAAACCATCTCTTAACTTCGTCCGAGTAAGAAATTAATGCAGGACACATGACGCTTAGGTCGATGGGTTGCAGTCGATGAGTACGGTTTAGCGGTAAACATAAAATAATTATATGATGCTTCTTGGGACAATCAATCACTTTTAAATTTTGAGTATGAGTTGTGTGGCCGTCTAAGATCAACAATACAGGATTATCTTTCGTTGGTTTAACTCTTTCTATAAACCATATAAACCAATGAAAAAAAATATCACTATTTACCCAACCACTTGGATGACACTAAGCCCAACAATCATCAGTAACGATTTGAGATAAATCAGATGGTAATCGTTTTCGAGGAAGTATGAACGTTATAGGCAAAAAAGTTCCTGAAGTAGACATACATATTTCTGCTGTAACCAACTGTCCTCGCTCTACAGATGCCAAAACACCAACTTGTTTTTTACCCTTGGGTGCAATGACTTTGGATTGATGTTTCGGAACCGTCGTCACTCCAGTTTCATCCACATTGAAAATTCGGTCAGGTGTAAATTGATATTTGTCGATAAGCAATTGCAACAAATCATAAAAATTATCAACAACAATTTTTTTAAAACCTGCAGCACGAAATTTAGAAGTTGGCTCAGGCTTACGGATTGACAAATCTTCTTTATGACGATTCAGAAAAGCTTTATACCAGTCCCGTCCAGCCGTATGATTTTTAAAAAGGTAATTGATACCATTTTTTTCTGCTAACTGGTATGCAAGCAAACATAATTCCTTCGTAGTCAAACCCGACAACCGACTCTCTTGTTTTGTCAAATATTCTGCCAACTCCTTTTCTTAGGTCAGACTAAAAACTGCTTCGATGCTTCCTAAATCTACAATTTTTTTTTTTTTTTATTAATTTATTTAAAGTCGCCCTGACAACTCAGGTCCTCAGCGACTACAATTTACAAAAAAAATTAACATTTAAGATTTAATATAGATAACATTTCTTTGATTTTTGCGAAGTGATTTTCTTGGTTAAGTAAGAGAAGACTATTGTTGGGGATCTTGAGTCTTCTTCTTAGTTCTGATAGGTTAGGGCAGGTCAAGATATGCTAAACTGAGGCTCTTTCAATGCATGCTGGACAACTTTTTGGGTCTTCTTTGTTGAGAAGGTAACCATGAGAAAAAGTTGTGTGTCCGATTCTTAGTTTTGTTAGTGAGCATTGGTCCTCTCTTGATTGGAATTGGGGTCTTTCGTCCCAAGTATTTACTCGATGTTTATGTAGTTTCGTTTCTTCATTTCGCCAAATTTCATTCCACTTTTGTGTTACGTGATTTTTAACTAGTTTTTTGAAGTCGTTTGGTGAAGTTCGGAGCTTGAGTGTGAGGTCAGTACCCGAGGATGTAGCTTCTCTAGCTTCCCTACTCTCTAAATCTGAAACAGTGAAAATCACTGGAAATTAGTAGTAAATTCACTGTTTCACAGTTATAAGTATACCACTTGGTAGACTTATAACTGTGAAACAGTGAAATTCCACTGATTCATTTTTAGAGAGTATCAGCAGCTTCGTTGCCTTCAATTCCCTGATGTGATGGAATCCAGATTATTCTGATAATCTACAGTTAAATAAATAAATTTAGAATAATTGACAAAAAATAAAAATTGCACAAAGAATCTGTAAATTCAAAATTTAGAGTCATTAATAGGATTACGTTTTTCAATTCTAATTTATAAATCAGAACAAACTTTAAAAGCTTTAATTCGGCGTTGCAATGTTGATCGAGGAACATTGTATGATTTAGCTGCAGTTTTGAACCTTATCGCTCCGTTTACAACTTCTTGGATAGCTTTTGCCATCGATATTTCACTCCATGACTGACGTCCACTTTTTTTTGTACTTGCGCACCATATTTAATAATAATTATTCACTGGTATTGCCTGAATTTGTTAATTAATAAAATGACGTTTTATATACGAGCTCGATTATCCAATGATTATTGAATGAAGTAAACAAACCGTATGATAACACAACTGGTGCGCATGCGTTTTAGTGCATGATGTGTACGCATGCGTACAGACATTTAAAGAATGAGCATGCGCAATCTATTTAAAAAACTGAATATTTTGGCGCGAAAATTTGATTTTTTCGAATTCATTGAATAGTTATTCAACAAAAAACTTTGAATTTAGCTGATGTTATATTCTAAATTTTTACTATCAACTCTTTTTCATACTGAATACATAATAAAAAGATTTAAAACATACCACAAGTAAGATACGTTGAGTTTTTTTGGGGGCCCGTTTTACTCCACTTTTCTTAATTTTTTAATTTCGATAGACACAAAAAAATTAATACCATGATCAGTAAAAAGCCAAAAAAAGTAAAACAAGTTGAAAAACTTATATTATAAAAATTTTCTGAAGGTGGCTCATTTTGCCCCACATTTCTATCCAGCTTACACTAATGTAACTGAGATTACAACTTTCTGAGAATAACATTCAAAAATAAATTTAATTATTGAAGTGCGCAGTAGTACTGGTGAATTAATTTGAAATGGAAATTGATACTACGTTCTTCTGTTTATTTTGGGGGAAACTGAACAATACTTTAATATTGCAAAATTGATGATATTAGTTGAACAATATAACAAATGACGCGTTGTTAATTATTTAATAAAAATTGCGAAACAGAAATATGATTTTATAAAAACGATAGTCCCAATGAGTAATGGGACAAATAGAAATAAAATAACGTTGAGTGTTTGTTTTACGTTTTGAATGTGGGTTGAAGTGAATTTCCGATGTGCATAACCATAGTATTGATGAATCCTCAGCAATCGTACAAAATTATTGGTACATTTTATTGGAGTTATACGGATCGCTCGCAACGCGATTCCGAAGCTAAACTCGTTATCTCCAACGTAATTCAGCATCCAGTGAGTCTCTGTGTATCATCCAGTCCTATCCTGGTTTAGTCATATTCCACCGACCAAATAAATATATATACGCATAAACTTTCCCCACTACTTTCGCTTGTGCGTCGATGCGTCGTGACATGCATCCACTCATTCTACCTATATCCTTTCTATATTTCTATATTGGGTATATACCCGACTACCCTTGGGGCTTTCATGCGCGTCTATCCGCCAGGTATAATGATATTTTCCGCTCATTATGAAATATTCGAAATAATTTGCTGGGATTGTGCATTTTGATTTGACGTATATTATCAACTCGATTTTCCATTGGCTCACTATTCCCAACCAACCAATTCAAAATTCAACTTCTCTAATTACATAAATTCATACATATAAATAATACACTCATTTAAAACGATATTTGATCAAAATCACATACTTGATAGTTTCAGAAAGTGGCAATTGTTCACTAGTTAAAATTAGACATCTATGTATTATGGTTTCGTCATTTCTTAATCAAATTCCATTTTTTTCGATTAACATGTAGATTCTGTAGAAAACTTGATTCTCTACAAAAGAAATTTGCAATAGTTTTCTGATCAAACGCACATTCTCTGATCATAAATTATTAAAAAAAAAAAAAGGTCATTTGAGCTTTAACCCTGACTTTTTAAGAACGTGAAAAATTGAAACTACTAAAAAAATTTTTTTCTAACTCAAACTCGACGAAAAATGTAAAAATATTAGGTTAACCCTTTAATGTTCTAGAAACGCAAAGAATCTCGGTGTGAGCTGTTAGGGGAGAGAGCCAATCATAGTTCGTTATGCGGTTGTGTAAGAGACGGTTTAGTTGTAGTAGTGTGTCCATGCGTCCCTTTCTACTATTTTTCGAGCCCCCTCTCTAGGAAAAAGACTATAGCTCTCTCACTTAAAGAAAAAGACATATGACTCAAATTGAGAGTGGGGATTCAAGGCCGAACATTAAAGGGTTAAGAACAAAAAAATTTTTTTCTGTTTTAAATTTTTACCTGAAAAGTTTTTTTAAAACTGGTTTCTAGTTTTGTTACATCCGCTGTTATAAGTCCCATTGTAGGTGAATTTTTATTCTTGTTCACAAAATTTCATTTTTCGATCCTCGACACTTTTATCGAATATAGTGCTTTAATAAACTCAAGTATTACATGTACTCTACTACGATTATTGTAAACTGGATTGATCAAGGTCACTGAGTTAATGAATATAATTTTTAGTAAAATTACTAGTTACAAAAAACAATATCTCGAAAACCCCGAAAGAAAGTAAAGTGAATCTAGGTTAAAAACAATCTAAATCATACATCTATTAAATATATTTATTTTCTGAAATTAATTTCTCCACGGCCTAGTGTAAATTGATGCTCGAATTCTCTGAAAGCCAAGTATTCCTCAATGATGCGGGCATACATTCTGCTAAAATTCATCCATTCAACCTGGAGAATGCATCATATATTACCACTATTAATAAATATATATGCATACATATACTTGGCGGGTATTAAAGCAGAATTGTGCATTAAATTGGAATTTCGACCATTGTAAGCATTCCAATGACGTAATGATACATAAAATAAAAAATTTAACCTTAAACAAAGTGTAAATAATTTGAGCGTTAAAATAATAAACTAATGTATATATTGATGTGCAGATATGTTTCTGTAGGAGTAGATACAAACGATAAAATGTATAGATATGTAGATGGAAAGGATGAGATAGGTGAGTTTAAATTCTCTTCTGTCACCACAAACATGCATAATGCAGCCACGCAGCTCGTGTAAACGTGTAAACATCGGCCGAGTGAGTGCATACAGTGAAACAGTAGGGGATGGATCGGTAAAGCTCTGACTGTGCCAACCGCTAAATTCAAAAATCCCCAACCACCTGTGCCACACCATCAACCCACGGTGGCCCACGGATATATACACCTCACAACTCTCTACCAAAGCTTTCTCTCTCCTGCTCATCTGTTTTAAAGTTAATTGCAATATAATTGCGGTCGACATTTTGTTGTTTATTCTATCTGCTACTCCCTTCTACCATAAATTTTTGCATATACTTTTTCGTGCTGTACCTATAACACAATACGACGTTTTCGTTACTACATAATAACATTTTTGTGTATTGGGGTGTTTGATTTAACAGCTTTATTTTTTTTCAATTTCCAATCGAAAATCTTGTAGTATGTTCAGCTCAATTTAATGATTTTTTTTTTTCATAATTCAACTGATTTTGCAGAGGGTGGAGTCTGATCTAAAATGTTTGTGGATCATTAACATTCATTTTGAATTTTCACGAATTGTTAGACTATAACAAAATTTTTTATAATTTTTTGAACAAACGATAAAATTTATCTGATTTTTCCAATAGGATGTTTATAGGAAATTTTATTCTTTACGCAAATACTCCTTTTGAACTTATTAAAACAGTGAACGGTTTACGAGACATAGCAATTCATATAAGATTTGAGACGAAATATATATAGTGATGAACGTTAACTTCGTACAGAAAAAGAAATAGTGTTATTTACTAAACTAAAGTGTTTTTTACACTACAGAGGCCGATAACATGCATAGGAAACAAAATTTACCATTTTTTTTTTCTACTGATGGTTTTTTTAAAATAATGATTAGTAATAGATTAAGACATAAAAATATAACGAATAACTGTGTTGACTTTAATGTTAAGATAGTTTGTAGTTTTTTCGTAAGGTGTACCATAAAAAGAGAAATATTTATCAATATAGACTTATCAATTTCAATATAGACTATATTTACCAATATAGACACCCACCTCTCTCATCTGACGATATCGAGTAGATTCTAAAAAAACTCACTGCGTTTACCTGTATACTAACGTATATGATCTTTTTTAGGACGAAAAAATTTCTTCTGAAAAAAAATGGGCATTATTGTGACGAAAAATTAATTTGTTGAATTTCTGTAACAATTTTATATTGTAAAAGATTTTTCGGACCTGGTGTAGTGTAAATGAGTCAGTGTAAAAATTTTCGTATGAAAATTACACCGAATACCGTGTTCAATTTAAGGGGGTGTGAATTTAACATTTTTACACTGTCAGGGTGTAAATGTATAATTCACGATAATTTTGCGTTCAGAAATTAAATATTGACTCTACATGCTGAGAAATTTACGATAATGATTATCACATTAAATGACAGTAAAATTTCAAACTTTGGCATGATGGTGGTCATTACCATCAATATTATAATATTTATAATATTAGATGTTAATATTGTAAATACAAGATAGTAATAGTTACCATCAGTACTAATTAGTCATGAAATGGTCTGCCCTAGATGTGTAATATACTATTTATTATTCTGGAAATTACTTCAAACTTTTCTCTCTTGTAAGAAGACGAATTGACGATTATGCACCTTCCATCGGAGATTTTTAATACTATCTGTGGTGAAAAAATTATATATGACCATTTCGGGTCCCGCTGCGCTAAACGAAATTGTCATTTTCCGCCTCCGTCGAGGAGAAAAATAGTATACTCACCATGGGTAGTAAATAAGAAAGTCTCAGATCACATGTTTATTGTAATCTCGGCTTCGCCTCGGACAACAATTACATGTGATCTGAGACATTTCTTACTTTACTGCCTTAGATGTGTAATATACTATTTTTATTCACCAAGAATCATTTCTTTGATTTAAAAACAATTATAATAACTTATTTTTTTTCCCATTTATAGCCCGATATAGTCACAGCTTGAAATATTTTTAAGGGATTTGCTTCTCTTCTAATTATTTATAAGTTGAATGCGAATTTATCCAGAAGCATATTTATCTACACAGTGATATATTTGTGATTTATTTTAAAATAGAAACTGAATATAGTAGATGTATAATCAAGTCTTTGGGATACATCATGATTATGAG